ACTGGTTTCTCCTCCAGTGGGGTCGGTTTAAGTGCTCCAGTAGGTGTATCCTTGTTGCCCAATTTTGGTTGAACTTTATTGAAAGGTGCTTTGGACCTGATACTGTTGTGATATCTCTTTACCTTTAGAGCTAGGGTCTAAACATCGTGCAATTTCCAATAGAATTGTAATTGTACCACTGTGCCAATCGACGGTCTCAATCCTCCAAGATATCGAGCTATAGTATTCTCCTCCAACTCTACTATCTCACACTACAACATAGGTTGCTTGAACTCATTTGTGTACCCCTCTAGTGAGAGATCTTTCTGTTGTAAGCGGTGAAATCTCAAGAAAGTTCTGCATGTAATATGTTGGTAGGTATTTGTGTTGCATCTCTTATTTCACAATTGACCAGATATTGATTTTACTTTTCCCTCACCCTAGTGTAAGCACTTCAAATTTTCCCACCACAAAGATACACTACTTTTTAACTTAATAGCGACTACCTTTACCATTTTGTCTAATGAGACTTCCTCGTACTCAAAGGCATGTTCCGCTATATGAAGCAATGAACTTATCTGGATCTATATGAAAGTCAAAATATGGCAAGTCAATCTTCAATCCAAAATCATGACTTCTCTGATATCACATGCCAAATCATTGGGCAATTGATTATTCATCAATGAAAAATGTCCGGTGAAAGGGATTAACTTTCTCCTCTCAATCTGGCGAGTCACCGTTGTGGCTATAGGAGAGCTCACTGAAATGTCTTCTCTCAAAGGAGAAAAATCTTTGTTGTGGTTGGAGGATTTCCTGTTCTATGCTCTCTATGATGAGTTCTTAGGCACCTTACTGAGAGTTTCTCCTTGGTGATGGCATAATTTTTGCCAGATCAAGTTTTCGGCGAACGAAGGATTACAAATCAAAGTTGTTAGGGGTTTAGGTTTTGAAGGCATGTGTTAGGGTGAAATTTTGCAGAAGGTAGAAATGTTGGATTTTGAAAATTTAGGGTTAGGGCTAGGAATTCAGTAGAAAATTTGGGCCTAATGAGGAATTTTTTTTTAATTTAGAATTTAGAGCAAGAAAAATAAAACACTAAAAGCTAGGATTTTCAGGCTCTAATATCAGATGATACAATTTTATGGCGCCCAAAAGGTGTTCAGGAAATGGATTTGGCGGGGAAGTAGTTGTAGAATAGCAAGTGGATGATAATATGGGTGGTCCACAATGTTTAGAGGATAAATGACATTCGGTGGTTGTCCTGACTAAAACAACAGGTTGAAAGGAGAATTGCGTGATCTAGTAGGACAAGATCTAGTAGGATCCACCATCTATCCTTGACCACTTGGCAAAAGGAATAGAATACAACCACTTAAAAGAGCATAAAATAAGGGCTGACTTCTCTAAACACTAGCGATAGTAAAAGTCCTCAAAATAGCAAAAATTCACAAATAAATATGCCTCTAAAATAAAGAACTCTAATTAGAAATAGTGAAATAGAAAAAATCATAAAAAAAAATAAAAAAGAAAGGAACAAACAAGTTAAAATTGCAAAATGGGCAGTTGGGTGATCGCATAAATGTTTGGTTCCACGGAATCGTGGAATTCTCCTGACGGGATCACAAGATGCTTGATCCCGTGACTCTATATGATGCTCCACATCATTCTTCTCGGCTAGAAGAAGCATCTTCTTCTTTTATGGAAGAACAAGGATCCAACTATCTGATGTTCCTTCTAAAAAACACTGAAGCAAATTGTTAAAGTGGCAGCTCATCGTTCTTATCTAGCCATCTGTTTGGGATGACACCACTGAGTTGAACCGGAATTTAATACTTAGCTTATTCCATGTAGCCTTCCAGAAATAACTCAAAAGTTTCTCATCTCTGACATTTTGGACCTTTCTCAACAGTCGCAATTTAGAAGATAGATTGTACATCTGAAAATTTTGAAATTCTAGTATCAGGCATTATCATGTGTTCGGTATCAGCACCTCGAGCCCATGGCCTGCTTGAGCAACTAATGCCAATCATGTTCATATTCTTAAGTCATGCAAAAAAATGGTTCGTAGTGCCACATCCTCAAACTCAGTATAAACACATTATCTTGGATGCATTACCTTCTGTGACAACCAATGTTAATTTTACTTGAGTCTCTCACATAAGTTCCAATTGAATCACTGGCATCTCTCTCTCGTCGGTTGCAAGTTGATACTCCTCTTTGACATCTCCCTTATCTTTTATGTCACTATCTGATTCTTTCACTACTACTTGCTCAATGAAAGATATTATTCTCCTGTTGGGCGATCTAATGCAATGTATCCAAAGTCATGAAACTTGAAGCATTTCCTAGCTAGGCAAATTTGGAAGTGCTAGTGGGCTCAACATTTTCTTCGCTTTGGATTGATTTCTCCTCTGGGGGAGTCGACTTAGGTGCTCCATCGAGCATACTCTTGTTGCTTGATCAAATGATTAAACCCTGGTTGAAAGATGGTGTGGGCCTAATGATGTTGTGCTCTCTCTCTATTTTCAAGAGTAGGATTTGGATATCCTATAATGTCCAATATGGCTAAAACTATGCCACATTGCCAATGGACGGTTTCAATTCTCCCATATATTGAGCTACGATATTCTCCTCCTGCTTTACGAGCTCACAAGTCAATATAAGCTGCTCGAAGTCAGCTATGTACTCCTTTACTAAGAGATTTTTCTGTTGTAAGTTGTGGAATGCCAAGAATATGTCATGCCTGTAATGTGTTGGTAAGTACTTGCATTGTATCTCTTCATTCTTAGACCAAAAGGTGATCTTGCTTTTTTCTCTCATTTTGGCACACACTTTTTAACTTAAAGGCAACTAGTTTTAAAATTTTGTATGGTGGGTCGTCCTTGTACTCAAAGAAACATGTCACTATTTGGAGTCACTCAATAAACTCGTCCAGATCCTTACAACTGTCACAATCTGGTTATTTGGAGTCACTCAATAAACTCGTCCAGATCCTTGCAACTGTCACAATCCGGTAAGTCAATCTTCACTCCAAAATCATGGTTTCTCCTTTGATATCTCATGTCAAATTGTCATGGTATTAGTTCATCACTGGAAACTGCATAGCGGAAGGGATTTAATTCCTCATTTTATCTGATGAGTCACCATTGTGGTTACGGGTGACCTCACCTAATCGTCTCCTCTCAAAAGCAACAAATATGTGTTGCAGTTGGAGATTTTCCGCTGCATATCCTATACGGTAAATTCATAAACACCTCATTGAGAGTTTCTCATTGGCGGCATGACGACCCTTTGACCCGATCAAGATTTAAGATTACAAATCAAGATTGGTTGGGGCTTAGGTTTTGGTGGTAAGAGTCAAGGCGGAATTTTGATGAAGGTGATGAGGTTGGATTTTGAAAATTTAAGATTGGGGCAAGGAATTGTAATATGAAGGTTTGGGTATGATGGAGGTTTTTTTTGGGGGGATAATTACATACAAACGGGCCGAAACATTGATATTTATAAATTAATTACCCAACGAATTTTTTTTGAACTGTTAAAACGATATATTTATGTGTGTCACGATCAAAATATTGAGAATATGATAAAAATGAAAAATATGGGTTGCGTTTTAACCATGAATTATCATGACTTTTGATATTTGAGTGAGAAATCGAAAAATGGATGAACGAGGGTGGTTGATTTGTAAATAATAAATAACAAGTATGAGTTGGTATCTATGTAATTGCCCCTTTTTTATTTTGGATTTGCAGTAAGGAAAACAAAACCCTAAAACTAGGGTTTATCGACCTGTGATACCATATAATATCGTTCTAGGACTCCTAGAAGGTATTTGAGAAGCAGATTTAGCGAGGAGATGCATGTAAAATAGAAAGAGGATGATAACATGGGCATTCGACAACGTTCAGAGGGAGATAAACAACGTTCGGTGGCTGTCGAAGTTGAAAATATTGGTCGAATGACGCGCAATATGACTGGCGAGGAGGATTCACCACCTATTTCTAAGCAAGACACAGACAAGTCATTTACAAAAGGAAGAGTATTTAGCACTCCAAAGAGTATAAAATAGAGACCTACTCTAAGCACAATAACAATAGTAAAATTTCTCAGAACAGCAAAAACACACACATAAATAGGTTCTTAAAAGAAATAACACTAATTAGAAATAATGAAATAGGAAAAAGAAAAAACATGCTGAAATTGCAAAACAGGCAAGTTGGTGATTGCGGGAAAATTTGATTCCACATAATCACGAATTCCCGCAATGAGATGCAGGATCCTCGATCCCGTTACCCCATATGATGCTCCCACATCAACGCAATTATAAGGAGATGAAGGAAGTCTACAATGTACAACTTCTAGTATGAAGCAGCATTAAAGAATCTGCAAGATAGAAAATGGAACATTGCAAGAAAGGAGAGGCATAGAAACAAGGGAAAAGTTCGCCCATGAGAAGCACACACGCATGATGAACCACAGGGGATTACAAACGGAAGAACCAGAGGGATGTATTTTGAGTTGTTCCCTAGGATTGTAGAAATTTAGTCAACGAGAAAGCTAGAGCCATGTGTAATATAAAGATATGATGAAAGTTTCTTTTTTATTATTATTATTTATTCATGAAGATCGCAATCTAACACATAATTTAGGGTATAAAACACTTTTATGCACTTGCATCTGAGGTGTCCACCAACACATTCACTTAATGCATAAGCTGTATTAATTACATTTCATTGCCATAAACTAGAAGAAATAAATAAATTTTTGGTTCAAGAACCAATGTGCATAATTCAAGACTATAATGACGAGACTTTAACAATTTCACAACTTTCTTTTTGAAGCTTCACGAACTTCCATTATGTGTTTCTACCGTTACATGTCATTACAAATAAATTCCGAAATTCCTACTGATACTTGCAATTCAAGCAATTATATGAACTAATATATAACTTAATTTATTTTTAAACAGCTCAGCTAACAAAATGAAGAGAAAAGATCTAAGGAGCACACATGATTACCACGTCCAAGGTAACCAGCCGACCCATCATAATCAGCAACCTGAATATTCTATATGCCTCTTTTCCATATTTTTTGAAAACCAGTGACTCTACCTGTTAAATCTAAAAGGAATTACTATTGTTTTTCAAAAAAAAAAAAAATTAACAACATATATGAAACAGAGAAAAACATAGAAGTTTATCGAGACCTCATCGTTTTGGCAAGTTTCAATGATGTCCTTCAAGCCTAAGTTAACAGGAAAAGTGTAGCACGTCAAAAGTCCACTCGAAGAAAATTAAACATCATCCACATAAAAGAAAGAGCTGCTGAAAAGTTAATAGTTGAAAATAAAATAATTACCAACAGTGTATAATGTCTCAGACTCTTCAGTACATAACCGGCAACCAAGTTGGTCCAAGATTGCTCGAACAAGTTCCAAAGTCAATGAAATTCCTCCAGGTTTCCCCCTCACATTTTCTATTATGCTATTCATAGACGATGTAGCTTTCAAAATCAAGAAGAAAAATAAAGCCATTGTTAAATACTCTTTCAGATATAGATGGGTTGAATACATAAATGATAGTAATGATTGAATATGAGATATAAAAAGACTTGAGCCATCAGCACTGTCAACAGCCATACCCCAACTATTTGGGACTTATGAATCCTAACTCTCCATCATGTCAGGGGCTACTTTAGGAGGTGTTAAATCTTATTTGAGCAAATTCTTTTGTATAACTTCCATCCAAGATATCTTCATTCTACAATTTTTTCTTCCTAATTATGCAACATCAATTTTCTCTGCGTATCTTATAGGTGCATCTTTTACTCTTAGTTTTATATGCCAAAATCACCAAAGCCTAATTTACATTATCATATCTCCAATAAATTTTACATTTGCTATTCGCCAAATATAATCAATTCTTAATTTTATCAATCCTAGTTTTGCTACACAACTATTTAACTTATTTTTGCTATAGTCAATCAGCACCATCAATAGCCATATCCCAACTATTTGGGGCTTATGAATCCTAACTCTCCATCATGTCAGGGGCTGCATTATGAGGTGTTAAATCTTATTTGAGAAAATTATCCAAGATATCTTCATTCTACCATTTTTTCTTCCTAATTATGCAACATCAATTTTCTTTGCATATCTTATAGGTGCATCTTTTACACTTAATTTTATATGCCAAAATCACCAAAGCCTAATCTACATTATCATATCTCCATATCATTTTACATTTGCTATTCCCCAAATATAATCAATTCTTAATTTAATCAATCCTAGTTTTGCTACACAGCTATTTTACTTATTTCTGTTATAGCCCATTTGCTCATCAATGAAATATTCGGTATGTGATGTTTAATTAATAGAGCACAATTAATGATATATTTGATAACACAATATTTAATTAATACAACACAATTGACCTAATTGCAATTCTATTAAAAATTTTTAAGTCGCCACAATATTCTCTTATTGCAAAATAATCTTGAGACATTTATTCAATTTAAATACCCAATATCAAGTCTAGAAACCATATCATATCTCAACTCTCTATTATTATGAAATATAAATGACATTCTTAAAGGTAGCCTTCGGGTAAAATTGACTGATAATTAGTATCATCACACCCATCATATATTCAATGTTCTACTATTATTTTCAATATGAGTTATTTATCTTAAATACAAGTATTATTTTGGTAGTACGATACTTAACCTCTAGTATAGAAATACAAGTCTCACCAATTAAAATTATATCACTTACAAAAAGTATGAGCCAAGTATTAATTTTGGTAGTACGATACTTAACCTCTAGTATAGAAAGCAAAGTAATTAATTTTAGGTCTAATATTAATTCCTACAATTACTTGGGATTTATATGTGCATATTTATGACTGCTTTTTCATAATGAGCATGTTTATTGTATCTAATGTCATCAAGGAGACAAATGCATTGCAAATTTTTTACCTATTTAAGAAAATTATGTCATTTTTCCATTGCGCAAATATTATGACCTAACATGCATATTCAATTATTTATCTGTAATTTACAAATTGCATAATTAAGCCTTGAATATAGATTGATACAAATTGATGATAGCAAGCTTATACCAATGCAAAGCATGTTTTAAATGTTTATGATAATAATGCTAAAAAAATCTATGAAAGGCCATGTCAAGTAACATAGGTTGACAAATTAAGATGACCAGCTTAAGAAAACATAGAAGTTCTTAAATGTTTGTGCAGTCGAACCTTTATTGAGGAGTCGTTTGATAACTGATAAGTTGGTGCAAGTCCAACCTTATCAACAATTATTATAGCCACTAGGCTATATGAGCCTATATGAGGACTATATCATATGTAAATTTGTCAAAATCTAAACAAACATAATACGGCCTTTCTAAGAGTAAGACATAAAATAATGAAAATCAAATATGAAAATAAATTAAAATTTTGATATTCGCAGTAAACTAGTTTAGTGCATTGAATGATTGAATAGTTGATAGTTGTATTTTATTCTTGTAACAGTCATGCTTACTTCTTATAATTAAGTCATTTGGTTTTTCTTTTTTTTTTTTTTTTGCCACACAAGTCTTCTGTATTTACATATCTAACATCTAAACTTTTATATTTACATGCATACACTCAAAATCTTTAACATTATATTAAAAATAACCACTTTTTAAAGTAAAATACAAAGTTTCATGCATAGACTTAAAGCACCAAAGTGTTAAAAATATAAATATCAAACATTAAGAGTTAGATATGTAAATTGATAAGAATCATGTGATATGCACATAATTTCCCTTTTTTAAACCAGTTCTTATACAAGAAGGGTTGAATTGGAATACATTATATAAAGTGGTATATCCAACAAGTTAAAAGGGAAAAAAAAGTTTCTCGTCTCTGTTTATTTTTCTCTGCATATTATGTCATTTGATAAATTCTAAGTAATTTTGAAACTATCATGTCACCACTGTTAAACTCTATGACACAGTTCTGGGGCTTCTAGAAAGTGTGTTAGAACACCAAAAGGCTTTAGGAAAGTTTTAAGATGGGTAATGGGAGTGGGTTCATGGATGACGGCTTAAAATCAGCGTGAAAGGGGACTAGACAGTGAACCGGAAGTGAGAAGGCAGCGGTTTTCTGCTGTGGAAAGCATGTGGGGATGAGTGTAACGGCTGCCTGGCTAAAACAGCGAGCGAACGACAAATTGGCGAGGTGCCGGAAAGGGAGTCGCGGGTGCGGGAGTTTTCCACACAGATGCAAGAAACAAAGCCAACAGGTCCAAGGGAGCTCAGTCCAAACTTCCAAAAGTGTCGAGCGGCATTAAAGGAGGGTGGCCCCTGCGGCTTTCCTTTTGCATCTCCCGCCTGGACCAAGTAGTGTTTGGGAAGGGAGGCATTGCCGCCTGCCCTTTTCTCCTCCTTCCTTTCTCGTCGTCTTTCCTTTCTTGTTTCCTACCTAACTAGGTTTATTTATATGCTTGTTTTCTGAGTTTGTGGGGAGTTTTTGCCATGTGTTGATTTTATATTCCTTTGTGAAGTTGTTCACCCTGTTCTAGGATTGTATCCGAGAAGATGAGGGTGTTCCTTTGTGAAGTTGTTCACCCTGTTCTAGGATTGTGGTGCTTTCGGCTGTAACCTACTCCAAGATGGTGTTATATCATTTCTCTTTCACCTTCACCAATCCTTCTCCTCCCCTCTCCTCAGCCACCGACCTTCCCCTCCTTTATTCATGCACCCAGCCGCCCCATACCTGTAGCCTTATCCTGCTGTCCAACCATCTTCCCTCCTTCATAGCGCTCCCAATCGATTGTTCCTCACCCCGCTACCACTGCTCTTGCTATCCAGCACCTTCCAGCAACCCTTCCGCCTACTGTCGGTCACTTACAACCCTCCATATTTGTTGTCTCTGCAATTCTGCGCCTTCCCCTCGCTGTCATTAGCCTTCCTTAGCTGCCACCACCCCTGCCAACCATCCTGATCTACCTAGCCGACCACCACTGCCCTTGGAATACACCTTAGAGGTGTTTGCTTGTGTCGATTATGTTTTGTGTGGCTATTTTCTGTTGTGTTGTAACCATCTCTCTACATTAATAAAAGTTTGTTTGAGTTTTTCATTGCTT